CACTCACTCACTCACTCACTCACTCACTAACTCACTCACTCACTCACTCACTCACTCACTCACTCACTCACTCACTCACTCACTCACTCCCTCACTCACTCACTCACTCACTCACTCACTCAGTCTCTCCCTTTCTTCCACTCTACCTCCCTCCCCATCCCCTCCATCCCTCAATCCTTCACTCCCTTCCTCCGTCCCTCCCTCCCTCCCTCTTTCATTCACTCACTCACCATATTGCCCTCACCTACTCAAGCATCCACTTACTGCCCACTCCACAACACTACTACTATGAATGTAGCCTGCAGGCTCCCTCTTTCTACCTCTGTCTCAATTCAAAACTCCTACACCAAAGTCTGTTGGTGGGTGGTTGGCAGGTGCTCTGGTTCCTCTTTCTTTCCTATCAAACATCTATCGTACTGATCACCTCTCTGTCTTTGTAGTGTCTGTTACACTCTTGTAACACCTCCATCGTTGGCACTTATATGACCTTACTGTGTTGCAAGTGTGGTAAAATTCCCTCTAAAACTTATTAAAAACTCTTCTTTTTTGTATGTCACTCTCTAGTTTGGGCGGTTGGCGGGTGCTCTAACTCTAATGCGGATTGCTCCTTCTTTCCTTTCAAACATAATATAATATAGTCCTTATCTCTCCTCCTCCTTATCTTTGTGTGTAACTCTCTAGTAGCACATCTAATCTTCAGCACGTATGTGACCTATTTTGTAATGTAAGTGTCGTAAAACTCTGACCAAAACAAATTTAAAAAACCTGTAGTGTAGCGGTTAGGCGTGTCATCGTCGCTCACAAAAGATTCGAGTTCGATTCCTGCTTGGGAAAAAATGTTGATTCAGCCTCTCCGTCTTTCTGCCTGGAAGTTATATCTCTCTAAGCCCAAGTTGGCCCTTATAAACAGGGTTGAAGCCCGCCTCCTAAATGATCTATATTGTGTCGATGGGGGTGTAAAACACCTATATTAAAACTACACTCATATGCTTTTAAAGAATTATTACTTTAAGGCTAGTACCGCACTACGACATTCTTGTCTCGGACAGGACTGTCCTGTCCTACCGTCGATGTTTTGCATGTCAAAACAGATACCGCACTAGGACAGGACTGATCCGGCCCATAAGGCGGCGTTTTTGTTGTTGCCAGCGGCGAGGTTTAAAAATGTGTTCCAAGAAGCTCTTCTAAACACAGTGTCTCTGACTTATTCTTGACATTACTGTAAGCTCTCCTAAACACAGTGTCACTGACTTATTCTTGACATTACTGTAAGCTCTCCTAAACACAGTGTCACTGACTTAAGCTTGACATTACTGTAGGCTCACCAACAAATCGGCCGCTCTTGGAACCAGTCCGTACCATGTACACTTTTCATTCATATTTTATTCGCCTGTTCCTGTTAAAATTAGGAATGTTTTGTTAAAAGTTTAAAATCGATTGGATTTAGAAATACAACATAATATTTGCCAGATGAGGAAAGGTACTAAGTGACTGAGGTGTTCGTGTTAAAAAAGTTTGTCTAGAGGGATTTTGATTCACGCAGGTAGACTCTGTATGACGCAAATACATGTAGAAACAGACTTGAAAAATGCACGCACTAAATTTTGCGAACGAAGAGAGTCTGATTAAGGACTTTAAAAAGCTCAGCTTATTTGTCTTTAAAGAAATTTAAAGGAATTAAAGGGGTTGGGGGGGGGGGAGACGCACCCGACGTTGCACAACTTGACAGAAGATTCTGTAACCGAATACACTTCGTGGCTTATTATGACATCGTCTTCCCCAACCTGGTGGGAGAGAAGCATATATAGCTTGGGGTAAGAGTAGCGCATAGCTTGGGGTAAGAGAAGCGTATAGCTTGGGGTAAGAGTAGCGTATAGCTTGGGGTAAGAGTAGCGTATAGCTTGGGGTAAGAGTAGCGTATAGCTTTGGGTAAGAGGTAAGAGTAACGTATAGCTTGGGGTAAGAGAAGCGTATAGCTTGGGGTAAGAGGTGAGAGTAGCGTATAGCTTGGAGTAAGAGTAGCGTATAGCTTGGAGTAAGAGTAGCGTATTGCTTGGGGTAAGAGGTAAGAGTAGCGCATAGCATTGGGTAAGAGAAGCGTATAGCTTGGGTAAGAGGTGAGAGAAGCGTATAGCTTGGGTAAGAGGTGAGAGTAGCGTATAGCTTGGGTAAGAGGTAAGAGAATCGTATAGCTTGGGTAAGAGGTGAGAGTAGCGTATAGCTTGGGGTAAGAGTAGCGTATAGCTTGGGGTAAGAGGTGAGAGTAGCGTACAGCTTGGGTTAAGAGTAGCAGCCGAGAGGGGTCATGTTCGCGCCATATCGTCTGGTTCCCCGTACATGCCCATGATTTCTATTTCTGTGTAAGAGCTGTGGACTCGTTTGATGCCCTCGTTTAGCCCCGAGCCACTGACAACATCAATATCTGCCGTAATCTTTCGCTGCTTCCCCCAAACTTCCAAGAGAAGGTTGCAAGGTTAGGTCTCGCTTTTTTGTTGCTATCGTTTATTTTATTTTTTTTCATATATTTTTTTTTTAAATTTCAAATGAAACATTACACGAAAGAATTCTTAACGTGGAATGCTTCCGAGAAATTTAAGATCATAATAATGTGTAGACTTGGATAAATACATGCACACTTGTGTTAAAAAGCTTTCAATGTCAGATCTTGTTTTGGTGTTGTAGCTTTTTTTGTCCTTAAAAATAAATAAACGAAAACAATCTTAACCTGGAATGCTTCCGAGAAGTTTAAGACATGTCGTCTTAAATAAACGATTTTGTATTTAAAAATAAGGTGGTTAGGCGAAGGAAAACCCAAATATTTTATGTATATATTGCAACTAGAATAAAAGATATTATATTAAAGTGAATCGTGGTCTGTGACGAAACAAAGTGCTGAGGGTTGCATCAGCAGTTCTCATGTGGTCGCTTTTAAGCACAAGGGGGCTTTCCCGAAAAAAATGCTGTTTTGAGAAAATTGGCGGTAAAGTTTTTGCCCCCTTTCAGTTTCTTTAAAAGACAAGAAGAGTTTTCTCTATAACCAAACAAATATACACACCAATGAAACCAAACTTCTCCTATAGGTAGGGCAATGCCCACTTTTGGTGTTGGTCAAGATTTCTGGAAACCTCCGAAATCTAGGTTAGTCCGCTTGTCCTTAAAAGCGACCATGTGTGTTCTTAGCACAGTTTATCAGAACACGTCAATTTCCTGTACGTGTTTTGCGCTTATCGTTATTGTTTTCATCATTCTCGGTATCATGACCGACACGCCCGCATTAATTAGTGATACGGAGTCAATCCGCACGTTTAGTCTGAAATCTTGTCATTTGTTTAGATGAAACGACTCTGATGAAACCTAGGATAATATTCCCAACCACACTTTGATCTGTGGCTTCAATATATATATAATACCTATATATATATATATATATATATATATATATATATATATATATATATATATATATATATATATATATATCATTACAATCTCTAGCTTCAGACAAAGCGGGGCAGATCTGTTTGTGTTTGGAATTTTGAATAACGGGTACAAATGAGGGGGGGGGGAGGGGGGAAAAGGGAGGGTGGAGAAGGAATTGAATCATTTAGGAAATCAAATTTCCTCGTTCTTTTTATAAAACATAACAATTTGCACCATTTTAATATATTTTTACGTAACCAACAAATAAGGGCACCAAAATCAGACCACGTGAATTTTTTTTAAAATCACA